TTAACTTAAGGAACAATGATCACTTTTACGAACTACCTCCACACTCACTTCACATTCTTAGCAAAACCATACACAAATCACTCATGTGGAACCTCGTTTAGGCTCAAATGGTATGAATAGAGCTTCCAAATACAAGGGTGACTCGATAACGGTGTAGACACGAAGAAAGTAGGGTCGTTCTATGTAAATCAATCAAGCTCAAGTAGAGAGAGCTGCCTAAAATAAGAACAAACATTAGACACACGACTCAAAGGGGTTGACCAGGGGATGATACGATTGGGACATTCAACATTTAGGGTTGTGGACTAATCCTATGCCTCCATCTTCCTCGCTACACATCATGTAAAGGGGGAACTGTCGTACAAGAACGAAACGAATGACACAAGTCTAACATGGCTACCTAGGTGCTCAATCATTCGTTCTAACTACCTAAACTCTATGTATAGGCAACTGTGAAAAGCGAGTAATCGATTGAAAACATCTATCGGTTCACAAACACATGAGAAATGAACCTATGCACAAACCTAATACAAGTCTCAATCATCATTATAGGTTGCACCCCATCATAAGCAAATCATCCACAGACAATGCTAAGAGATTCAAAACAAATCACCAAAGGTGCCACTATGATCACACAAATGTAGAACTTGCAATGCTTGGAGCCCTCAAATTTTAAAAATTTGGGCATACAACTAGGCTCCAAGCACTCAAAATCACACCAATCATCCACACACAAGCATAATAGACTACCCCCCCCCCCCCCCACACACACTTAAGCTCGACATTGCCCTCAATGGGGTAAAATAAGGAGGTAGAACGATGTTACCGGATAAGGTGTGAAAGTTATTGATCGGGAGTGGAGGGCGGGTGAGATCCACAAAAGCATGGAGACGGCAAAACACCACCAAAAGCTCTCCATTGGTCACCTTATTGAAAGGAAAAGAGATGCAAATCGATGATGCCATGCAAGATCATAAAAGGGATTCTCTTGTGACTTCGTCTTTGAATTTTCTCTCAGGAGGGGTTTGAAAGCCATCAATGCAACCCTCTTGTTCATCCTTTCCATGTGAGCTCTCTGGGGTTAGTTCGTCTTGCTCCACACGATTTTCATTGATCGCTCCTTCAACCTCCTCTTTCTCCTCCAATGATGAGATGCTATAGCTTGCACAAGCTCGTGCCGCCTTCTCTTCTAGTGTCAAACTGAGAGGAGGGAGGGGTTGAAAATCCATCTTGGAGCTTTTTCTTTCTAAATTCTCCATGGAAAGCTCCAACTTGGACTTCACTTCGGGTTGTGGGAGATCCAAGTTTGAGCAACCTTCATCGGTGCGTCGAGCAAACCGCTCACCATGAGCTCCAACTCGCTCTTTGGTTCCAATTGTGGAGTGGCACAGGGTCTTGTAGAATGCCCCATGAAGGACTCCAACTTGATTTTGTCCTCGGGTTGTGGAGGGAAGTTTTCTTCATATGGGAAAGCTTCTTGAACTCCCCAATGGTATACTTCTTGCTCTTGGAACGGAGGTTGATCATAGAACCCGGTTCCTTGTCTTCCACCCTCTTGATCGCTCCAAGAAGCTCTGGGGTACCCCTATTTGGGTGGTTGTGGATACCCCCACATATTGTAGAAGCCATTAGGTTCCATGATTCAACCTACAATGACAAAAACACTAAAACAAAATCAAACAAACACAAACCACCGTTCAAAGCAAAGAGTGGGTAAACAAAGCAAATTACGAAACATGAAACGGCTAAAGTAACGACCTAACCCTTTTCAAATAACCTAAAATGATTCCCCCGACTTCGGCGCCAAAAACTTGACTCGATCTAACTACACATCCCAATCGTCGGCCAAGTATAACCGGCGACCGTGTGTAGCATACAACAAGCAAACAATAATTATTTATCATACCACGGGGATCTAGGCTTACCCTACTTCAAGTGTAGGGTTCATTATCTAGCCAACCTAGGATGGTGATTAGAAAGACTAAACTAACCAACCTAGATAACCACTAACCTAGCTATTTACAACTTTTGGGAGCTCTCTTGGGTTGAATCCCCCTAGTTCCATCCATTGGATCAATGTTGAGTATCCTCCTTGCTCAATCGACTCAAATAATCTACCGTTAGGAGATGGACTTCCCCGGGGATTGACCCGGAACGACAAATCGATGAATGGGGTATGCTCTATTCACCTAGGGTTTCATATATTGCTAGGAGGTAGATCAAATCAACTCCCTCGGGGATTACTCGCACAATATACTAAAGGAGTGACCCAAAGACGCCAATAATGGGATCTAAGGGTATTTACTCCCTCCTAATTCAAAAGCTCAATGCATGAAACGGGAAACCCAACTCATGTCATTCTTGAAAACATCTATCAATTAAGTAACATCATCAATCAAACATGGAATTCGTCACATACATCAACATAAAAACAAAATCTAGACCTAGGGTTCTTAAACCCAAGAGAAGGGGGTGAGTTTCTAGAGAGAGAAGATAGAGATTACAAATTGGAGCCCAAGATCTTCTTCTTCTAGGCTTGATTCCTTGCTTCCAAGCTTGATCAATGCCTTCAATTCAGCTCCAAGGTCACTCAAGCACTCACTCTCTCTAGATCTCCCCTTTGGTGTTTTGGGTTGAAACCCTAGAGAAAGCAACTATTTCGTCTCCAAAAACCAGCTCCCCTTTCTCTCTCCCCGCTGCTGTCTTTAAATTTGCCCGACAGGGCCCAGTTCATGGCCGGGGGTTTTAGTTCAAGATCTTAGACCGTGAACTGACTTGAGGCTAGTAACATGCAAAACCATTTTGGAAATTGGTCACTTCATGGTTTGTGCTTTCAGTTCACAGTCATCTACGACCGTGATCTAAAGCTCCAGCCCGTAAACAGTGCTCTGGCTCCACTTTTTGGCTCGTTTTGACCTCCGAATTACCCAAAACTCGTCTCGAACCTTCCCACACGTGCTAGGACCTGAAATGTATCAAGACAAGCACAACCTAGTGCAAAATAGGTCGAGCAACGATGATCTATTAAGAAAAATGAACAAGAAATGAGAGGTAAAATGTGTACAATTGGACCCAAATCAAATCCGCTCCTATATGAGGGGTTAAGGGGTGACATCTGCCCCAATGTCACCCCCTAGACCTGCATTTCAAATCCGCTCCTATATGAGGGGTTAAGGGGTGACATCTGCCCCAATGTCACCCCCTAGACCTGCATTTCACGACTTAAGGGGTGACATCCCCTCCTAGGCTGTGAAATGGTTGAAAAAGATAGAAAAATTACACCATGTTATGGAATGACCTTTAATGTCACGGCCGGGGAGTGACATAGTCCATGACATTCCCCCACTTAACAAAATGACGAGTTTTGGATGTCACGACCTGGATATGAAGGCCATGATTGTGACATAGGCCGAGACATGTTCTCCGATTCTGAAAGGAGAGAGGTGGGTTTGTGGATCCAAAACACCCAAGGGATGAACCCCGGAGGGGGAGAGCAATCTAGAGCCGACATTTGAACCAAATTGGAGGATTTGTTTGTCATTGAAACTCCATCAACAAGCCTGGACATAGAGATTGTAGAACTAGAGCTGACAAGTATTTTTCTCGGTTCTTTATGGAGTAACTTCCCGTCACTTAGGTTTTGAGGAACTCTAGCTATTGTTTTATTTGATTGGATGATTGTTTGAGAACCTAGATTGTTGAACTCAAATTTAATATCCAATTCATGCATTTTTCATGACTTGTATGGATCCTAATCACATTCCTATGACTACTGTTTTGACCTAGGATAGATAATATCTAAATAGGTTAATAGAACATCGTCAATTGGAAGAGGTGAATCAATTACATGAAAGTGAATCCAATTACTACATTGGACATGATTTTGATCTAGTAGAGAGAATCTAGTTTGTATTCTCTTGGTATTCTGTTTCAGTGAGGATAGTGTCCTGCTAGGCAGTCTATTCAAGATGAACTTGTCAGCTTTAATTTAGTGACAAGGCTAAATATAGATTCTCCGCGGTATAAACATCAAACGAAATGAGCTAGGGAATCAACAATAATTAATCTGGCTAGTTTCTAGGAAAATCAAATCTAAGTGAGTTCCTAACCTGTAATTGGAATAACCTTAACTGTAGTTAGCTAGAGTAGCGGTAGTTAGTTTATTTGAATTTGATTTGCTAAATAATAAATTGAAGCTGACCCATGAATTAGATATTTTATTACTTGTGCCACTCTATTGTGATCATGTCATTGTTTCACTTTCCATTGTAAGAAGTGTAGTTTTAGGGAGTCAACTACAATATGCAGCAAGTCCACCTCAGACAATAGAAAGTTATAATTATGTTACAATGGGTTCAAGTATTGGTCAAATTTCCAGTCGATTTGAGTCCCTAAAGTAAAGAAGACTAGTTGGTTTTATTGCTTTCAATTGCAAGTTTCTTTTTCTCTTTATTCAATTGAATAATTTTTTGTTTTCCCTCTTTTTGATCAAACTGAACTAAGAGCATCCACATTGGTATTGCACTTCCAACTGCAAGATGACATGATACAGGTGTTTGCAATTGCATTTCAATTGCATTTCAATTCCATTGATGTGGTTACCCATTGCATATTTGCAAGCTTGCAACAAATGCAATTCTATATGCAAGCCAAAATGGCCTAAAAATTGGAACTTTTTATTTTATTTTATTTACTTTATTTTTATATAAATTAAATATAATATTTAATTACATATGTAATTGTAATGGATTGCATTGAGGTAGATGCAATGACATTAATATGAGTTGGATTGCAAAAATATTGATGTGGCAATAAAAACATTTATAACAGAAGGAATGGATTGAAGAATGGGGCAAACCGAACAAGCAACTTCAACACGAGGGGAAGAGGCTAGTTAGGGTAGAAATTACCACAAGATCGAGGATGAATGACTCAATCTCTAGGTATATAATTCTCGGCCAAATCCAAGAACAATTTAGCTCGCAAGCTTGAGGAACTCCTCGGAGTAAACTTTTTTATTAAACTTCGTGTCCCAAACTTCGTTAATTTGAGATCAAAGTTGCTTCCTCAAACTTTCTTTCTGCCTTAGTAAAAAACTGGCAGATTTCCAATTGCTGGATAGGGTTTTGCCCAGCTTGTAATCCAACCCTTCTGACTTCATTTCCCCGATCCAAGTGCTCCCAATTATAGAGGAACACCCAAGCTTCGAAACAAACCCTTGACCTTGCATTTTCAGTAGCCCAATTGGGAGAACCAAGCCTCCAAAGAGAACCAAGCCTCCAAAGTGGGGTTCCCAAAACTGTTCCAACACTTAGAAAATTTCCAGCTTTGTTCTTGTTAACTTGAATCGATCTTTGATCGATTAATCGGAACTTGAACCTGCCCGAATTGTGATCATATCAAGCCCCCCTTCTTTAAAAATATTTGACCTCAAATCTTGGAGCATCCTGCACTCAAAGGCATAGACAAAATTATCCCAAATGGGATCGTGAAAAGTTAGTGCAAAAATTCCATCTTCAGGCGCGACTCGAATTTCCGGCGACCCTTTTGGAATTAGGGCTTTCCTTTTTGAGACTTCTCGGACTAATTCATTGCTTGCATTCATTTCCCCTAGCTCCCATGAAGCAAATGCAGTCCTTCCCACGCTTCGGGGGTGCCCAAACAGCCATGAACCAAGACTTGGAGTTTTCCCGCCACCGGAGAATTCAAAATCCTCAGATTCCGGCAACGAATTTCTAGAATTCGGCGAGCTAATTCGAAAATTAGGCGTTTTGTTTTCAGTCCTCGCCGATCTAATTGCTTGATTCGTACACCTTCCTTGAGGCCCCAGAAATGGATCCCAAGTGTTTTGCTTCGAATCGTACTCAAAGTCCACAACTGATTCGACCGATTTTTGTTCTTCGTCCGTCTCGTTGGAAGGCAAAATTCCGACTTCGGGCTTCTTTGATCGAGCTCGATTCTGCTGTGTTTCTCCATCTTCACACGTTTTTTGGTGAATTTGGGATGTGTAGGTGTTGGCCACTTCCTCCGACGCAGCTCCAATCATCCCACCCCATTCGGTGCGATTCAGGACATCCGAAAAATAGGGCAGTCGAGCTCTGTGTCGTCGTGGAACTGTCCGACCAGCGAGGACATTTAGCAGGTGCCGGCGAGCTTTCAAAGCGCTTCCCTTCTTGTCACTTGAGGACGACTTACCAGAATTATCCTCCCCTGCGGCTCGACTTCGCGCCATGTGTTGCTGGTCGGATTGAACTTCTTTCGGCGACAACGGTGTGAGCACCATCTTCTGCCCTTGATGCGTAAACGAGTAACAATTAGTCCTGCGATCGTGAGAGACTTGGCGATCAAATTTCCAAGGTCTGCCTAGCACCAGATGAGTGGCCTACATCAGGATTACGTCAAATAGCAGCTTGTCGCGGTAATTCCCTATTGAAAACGGCACCCAGGCTTGCTTGTTTACTTTGATCACAGCGTGATCACTAAGCCAATGCAGCGAGTATGGCTCGGCGTGGGGAATCATGGTAAACTCGAGATTTTTAGCAGCATCAAGGCTGACTACGTTTTCACAACTTCCCCCATCCACAATGACAGTAAGAACTTTGCCCTTCACACGACACCTTGTGTGGAATAAATTGCTTCGCTGATCCACGACAGGTAAGTCCTCTTCTTTGCTTGTCAAGGCTTGCGATAGTACAAGCAATGGCCCGTCAATAGCTTCCATCTCTTCGCCCTCTGAGTCACCAACAACCTTCCTCTCGGCCTCTTCCTCATCTTCCAAGTAATATTGGCCGTCTCGGAGTACCAACACCTTTTGATTGGTGCATTGATGCGATTTGCGGCCATAGTCGTGGCATTTGAAGCATCTAATGTTGCCACTAGAGGCTCCTTGTCGATCCGGGTAGCTGGCGGAGTTGTCCTTGCAGGTTTATTGGGCAATTACGGTTTGAAGTCAGGTTTAGGGACAAGTTTGCTCGCGGGAGTAAATCGTCTGCCAGAACCTTGCTTCAACTGCTTCTCGACCCTCATAACAAGCTGTACAACGTCTTCAATGTCCACGAATGGAAATAGTTCTACTTGGCTCTTGATGTCCCTCTTTAGACCCTGCAAAAATCGACTAATGGTAGCCTCCTTGTCCTCGCATATGTCAGCTCGGATCATGAGGAGCTCCATCTCCCGAAAGAATTCTTCCACGCCTCGATTGCCTTGGCGAAGAAGCTGCAAGCTATCGTGGAGCTCTCGTTGATAACACGTGGGCACAAAGCGCTCTCTCATCAACGTTCTCATCTCCATCCACGTCGCGACTGGGGGTAAGCCAACTCGACGTCTCTTGATCCTCAATTGTTCCCACCAATCAGCCGCATAGCCCCCAAATTCGTAGGCAGCTAGCTGGACCTTCTGTCGCTCGGTGTAATTGTTGCAGTCGAAGAATAGAATCACCTTGCGCTCCCAGTCCAGGTATTCAGATGGGTTAATACTCCCTTTAAACGAGGGAATAGCGAGCTTGACTCTCTTCAGTTCCTCGGTTGCTCCCGTGTCTTGGTGTCGTCGATCGCGATCACGGAACTCGTGGTTATAGGGCTCTCCTTCAGGTATGGTTATGTGCCTCTCCATATTGCTAATTCGTTCCTCGAATGCTCATGCATTCTGCACTCTGTTTCCCTCCAAAGTCGCGTCTTCCTCTGTCGTCGTTTTCGGCTCGATCGCCGTCGACTTCAATTCAGCCAATTGCTGGTTGATGTGATGAAATTAGGTCTGGAATGTTGCGTTTAGTTGTGCCATAATTGTCTGCAACAACTCCGTCATTTTAATCTGCCGCCATGCCTTGATTGATTCTTCGAGCTGAACTTCCTTGTCGGACGCAGTATCAAGCTCTATTTTCGCTGGTTCCCTCCGCAATGCGATGGGATCTTTCTTTCTTGTTCTCGCTGCAACATGCCTACTGTCCTGTACCTTCTTCGTCGTTACCGCTGTGTTTGAACCAGGCGATGATGCCACTTGATGAGCCCAAGAAGAGACTCAAACGATTAGAGCATGCAACTAGGGTAGTTGTCTTCGAGATGGTGATGATTTCATAGTAAGAACATAGGGAATGGATTGATGAATGTGGCAAACCGAACAAGCAACTTCAACACGAGGGGAAGAGACTAGTTAGGGTAGAAATTACCACAAGATTGAGGATGAATGACTCGATCTCCAGGTCTGCGATTCTTGGCCAAATCCAAGAACAATTTAGCTTGCAAGCTTGAGGAACTCCTCGAAGTAAACTTTTTTTATTAAACTTCGACCCTGTTACAATCAACGAAGGAGGCTATTTATAGCCAAGAACAACCTAACATACTCCTAATTGAACAATGAAACGAATTACAAACAAAACAAGGAAAGCAAAACAAATAAAACACGGAAACTTACAATCCAAGCAACATTCTTCTCGGCCAAGCAACTGTCCAGGAAATCAGTCTTCGTACCAACTTCTAGCTCTTGAAAATTGGCCTTCTAGGTTGAGTCGAGCTTAGCCAATCCCTTACCTAGGTTTAGAAAGTTTCATAATTTCATTTCCAACTCCAAGCTCAAGCTGATCGTGTCCCAAACTTCGTGAATTTGAGTTCAAAGTTGCTTCCTCAAACTGTCTTTCTTCCTTACTAAAAACTGGCAGATTTCCAGTTGCTGGATAGGGTTTTGCCCAACTTGTTATCCAACCCTTATGACTTTCTTTCCCCGATCCAAGTGCTCCCAATTATAGAGAAACACCCAAGCTTCGAAACAAGCCCTTCACCTTGCATGTTCAGTAGCCCAATTGGGAGAACCAAGCCTCCAAAGTTGGGTTCCCAAAACTGTTTCAACACTTAGAAAATTTCCAGCTTTGTTCTTGTTAACTTGAATCGATCTTTGATCGATTAATTGGAACTTAAGCTGAACTTTGTTTATGCTAAGCAGATGGATTGTAATGTGAATTTATAGGATGGAATTGCATGTTCAAATCTTATTTTCTTTATAACTCCTCTCGGTTATTGAGAGTTGCTATTCATCATCCTAATTTATATTGAAAATTGAAATCAGTTTAGCTTAAAACGAAATAATTTTCCTTTTTTGTTTTCTATTTTTTTTATTTATACACTCAATTATACATAACAAACTTAAGGGTGATAATTGGTTTGATGTCAGTTAATCACTAACCGATATTGTGGTTAGAATTTAAACAATAAACAAAAAACTCATATCGATAATCGAACCGATAAGCCTTATCGATTAACCGTCTCTTATCAGTCTGGTTAGCTATTAGTTTGACGGTTAACCAATAACCACTAACATACGTTCCAACAAGTACGAATATACCTAACACTACAACAAATTCGGCCAATTAGGACAAAGTTTTTATTTTGTCATTTTCTGTTTGTCACAATATGTACAATGATATGACAAAAATAATATATGTCCTATTTGGTATACCTAATGTGACAAAAAAAAATTGTTGTCAGAATAAGTCGTCATTTAAAGTGAGTAATGTGACAAATATTTCGTGTCACAATTAATTTTGTCAAAATAGGCGTCTCATATCTGGATGTAAGAGACTCAACAGTGACAAATTGCTTGTTGTCAGAATAGTTCGTCATTTAAAATGAGTAATGTGACACATATTTCGTGTCAAAATTAAGTTTGTCAAAATAGACATTCCATATCAGGATGTAAGAGGTACAAAAGTGACAAATTATATCACCGGTGTAGCTTTTGTTATATTACGTCTTCCTAAATTGTTTAAATGACAAAGTATTTTGTCATAATAGATAGCAATAATCCCACCCTACCACATGACCATTATTATCGATGGATTCTCTTTCTTTATTATTAATTTTTTGAGTTATTTTCCTTTTTTTAACCAACTAAAACAGAAACAGGGTGAACAGAATTCTTTTCTTATTTTTTTTAGATAACCCTTTATTTTATGGAGATAACTAAAATTGGATAATTTACTAATATTTTTGACAATTACTTTTATATAGTTTTGTTGATGATCTTTTATTCTACTAGATTAATATTTGGAAGGTACAAAGCTAAAGAAATATATACAAACTAGTGTTCATAATGATGTTTTCTTATTATGAACATAAATTTTGTTTTCTTATTAAGCAATATCGATTAGCGATAGAAAATTATTTCAAAAGAAAATGAAGCCAAATTGTGTATATCAATTCGACTTCACGATTAACAGAATTATAAAAAGAATTATGGAGTCTAAAAGAAAAAAACATTAATAAACAAAAAAAAATTATGAAACTAAAATTAAATTATTATCATAAAATGAAGGGTTACATACAAATAAAAAAGATTTACTTCCATTTTTTGGTAGTAGAATTTCCTTCCGTTAATCCCTCTATCTCTGTTTTGGTTTAGTTAAAAAAAGCACTCACGTACAGTAGTAGAGGAGACAAAACCGTCACCGCTGGATCTCTCTCCCAATCATCTGCCGCCGCTCCTATTCCCCCCTCCACAGGCTTCTCTTCTCCCACAAAGAAGAGCTAGGGATTAACATCGGCGATTTGCCGATGGATTTACGAAGTAGATCTGTCTGTATCTCTGGGATTTTTTGTCCGATTACTTTATGCCATCAGATCGGGCGATTTCCTTCCACCGATGTAACTACGGAAGGTCGTTGTTTATAGTTAGATGATTGACCGAACACGAGAACACCAACACAACATGATTTTGATTTTGTTTCATTTTGTGTGTAAATTTTATTTTTTTTCCTTAAATATTCTCATTTGTAGGTGTTATGAGATAAAAATAAAATAAAATATGCGTACTGTGTATACACTTTATTTCTAATATATTATATAGCTGAATTATTTTTTATTATGTTCGTATAATAATCAAATTATATAATGAGTACCTCTTTTATTGTCGGTCACAATATACAGTTATGACAAAAGATAATCGTGTAATATGACGAACAATTCTCCCTAAATCACCAGATTATGACAACCGTAATGGCAAAATATGTTGTCATAACATCTCTGTTTGTCACAATAGACTACCCAGAACCTCAGCTATACTCAAAGCAAATGTGACAACCTTGTTTTAAATTTTTGTCACATTTGACCTATCCTGACGGCGATAAAATGACAAACCTTTGTGACAACACCTTTTGTCATATCATACCTAATATGACAAAATGGGTATCTAATATGACAAAATTGTCTCGTCATAATAGGCCGAATTTGTTGTAGTGTAATCAAACCAATAACTTCTATTTCTTTCACCAAATATAATAAAGCGAAACATTTGTAATATACAATCATCATCCAATTAAGTATAACAATTAAGTATCATTTAATCCTAATCACCTGCAAAACAATTTAATTATACTTCTACACTATAAATATAAAATACTAATGATAAGAATTAACATCAATGAAACAACCATCATGAATTCATAATCCAAATTCATATTCCAACACATAAAACTAAAAAAAGTCAAACGTCTTCATCAAATTAGTGAATACCAACTACCAAGATATCAAATACAAGAACCACAAGATCATCTTCATTCAAAAATATTAAAGAAACAAAGACTACTAGAGTGAGATGTTCGCTCTGTCGATTGCAAAGGAAATTAAGAGAAGATGAATTTAGAGTTCTTAATATTAAACACATTTAAGACTTAAGGTGGAGGGTTGTTTGCAATAAGTGGAAATTGCGACTTTCGGTGGTTTTGAACATTGAGACTTTTTCTCCTAACCAAAGACCAAAACTATGTAATTGTACTAGTAGGGGATTATCAATTAATCAATAACTACTAATTGATTATTCTCCCAGCGATTAACCACTAAGCAAAATACAACTAACAAAAACCAAACCACTAGAAAATCAAAGATTATTGATTAATCGTTAACCACCATTATTGATTCGGCTATCGATTAAAACAGTTAAATGACTAACCATTTACCTCCCTAGAACAAACATACCCTAATCAGTCTTTTCCCATAACCACCTGTACCTTTTCACCTCCGTCACTGTTGTCATGCTGGCGCCACCTTTAGATAATGAATAGAAGGTGGCATTAAAGTAATTTTTCTTTTTGCGTTAGGGAGATAGTAATAAAACTAGGGATGGCGATGGGTCGGTTTGGAGACGGATAGTGCATATTTGTTACCCTACCCAAAGTAGTTCGGGTTTTACGCATATCCATACCTACATAAGAATTGGGTGAAAAATCAAAATCATGTCTATAGTCGTTCGGTTTTGCATATCCACGGTTATCAATAGATAATAATTTATCTTTATAACACCAACATGTTAACCTTCACACGTTTACTCACATTACATAAAAGAAAACACTACAATAATGAATAAATCACTATAATGAAAAAAAAATAATTAAATACCACACAATTTCATGAAAATATTATATTATATGCTAAATATAAAATATGTTGAGAAAATAATGATAATTTCTAGACAAAATACATATACATGTGTATAATCAGGCGGATTCGGATCGGATAGTAAGAAAACCTTGCTCATCCATTATCATGCCTAAATGCCTAGTAAAAATCCTTCGAATTTGAGTTTTACCCTACTCGATTAGGTCGAATTCAGACGAATATTCACGGTTATGGATATTTTTTACATCCTTATATAAAGCCAGATTGATTAATAAGAAAGAAAACTTTTATACATTGGATAAAGTGATGTAATCTTAGAGTGTGTAAGGATCAACTTGTTAAACTCTACAAATCTTACTTACTGAGTATTGTCTCACTACCTGGTTTTTGTTTAGTAGTCAATTATTTAGTATGATTTACTTGACAAAAATATTAGATTTGATAACGCTATTAGTGGGTTTATGCACCTCACAAAGTTGTGTTGTTTATTAACGCATCAACAAATTTGGATTTGCTTGACTATTTGGAAATACTAGTTAGGTGTCCGACCCATTGGTCATAACGTTATTTGAATACAATTTATAATGTGTATCCTAATTTTAAAATATTTTGAAATGCTTATTTTTATATGACAATAATGGGATTTTGAAAATTTTATTTTGTATTTTTTAAATCATAACAATCTTATATCAATACCTCAACATTAAATTCTTAATGATTATATCACTTTTGAATAATCAATCATGACCTATTTATTTAATAATGCAGTCACTTAGTTATCTATGATTTGACATAAAAATGACATCATATTGTCTATTATTAAATAGATAGGTCTACGGTACCTGGGGTGAATTCCGGGGTATCGCATACCTTAAGTATGAAAACGCTATCCAGACCTTGAATTGACTGATCTTTCAGACATGATACTATACTCTAACCCCTTAAATATCAAAATCTAGGTCTTAATTTTCTAAATCTTATACCCCAAGTTCAATTTAATTAGAAGCAATAATCGACGGTTATGATTCGTCCAAATATAGGCAAAAAAAAAAAGAAGGCACCATCTTAGGGTTTATAGTTTATGAGTTAGATAATTAGGACCTAGGGTTCACTCATTAGGGGTTATGGTATAGTATCATGCCCAAAAATCCTGTTAACTCGAGGTCTAGATAGCATTTTCATACTCAAGGTATGCGGTACCCCGGATTTCACCCGGGGAATATATATATGGTTATGTCTTCGGTGCACTCACTTTTTTGAATGCACCCGCCTCATAATCGTCATTCTGAGCAGACGATTCATGTGAAAACGATGTCAATCATCCCTTGTAGTATGATGAACAAGAACCACATCAATTTGTACAAAAATCATTCAAGATTCACTTTAATTTGAATGATTCAGGGTTTAGGAATTTAGGGTTAGGGTTTACAATTTGGGATTTTGGGTTTAGATTCAAAATTGAATGTTAATAGGTTAGGGTAGTGGGTTGATTAGTTGTGATTTTGTGTTATATCATCATATGAGACTAATGCTACCCATTTAATTTCAAATTTGATGTATTATGACCACTTTTAGAGGTGGGTGCACTGAATGCACCCCAAAAAAGTGAGTGCACCGAAGTAGCCACCACATATATATATATGGTGGCTTCTATGGTACCCTGGGTGAAATCCGGGGTACCGCTTACCTTGAGTATGAAAACACTATCTAGACCTTGAATTGACCGATCTTTCGGACATGATACTATACTCTAAAACTTAAAGATCAAAATCTAGGTGTTAACTCTCCCAATCTTATACTCGAAGATCAATTTAATTAGAAACAATAATCGACGGTTATGATTCATCCAAATATAGGCACAAAAAGGAATGCACCATCTTAGGGTTTATAGATTATGATTTACATAATTATGACCTTGGGTTCACTCATTAAGGGTTAGGGTATAATATCAGACACAAAAATCCTGGTAATTTGAGGTCTAGATAGAGTTTCCACACTCGAGTTATGCGGTACCCCGGATTTCACCCGGGGTACCATAGAAGCCACCATATATATATATATATGGTTCAGGCTAGCGTACGACGGTCGTACGCTGTGCGCCTGTGTTCACACTTGTTAATAATTTTTAATTAGTTATAATTAAGTAAATAATTAAGAATAATTAAAATTACAAGCATACCTATAAATTTATTTCGGAATACTATTTAGTCCCAAATAATATTTTTCCGTCTTTCTGCTTAAATCAATCATGTAAATTTTCAACTTAACATTTATAGTTCTGTTCATAATTTATAACACCCAAATTTCTTATCAACAATAAATAGTGCAATTATTTTTGTTTCTTCTTTCAAAATGCATAACTAAAATATTGAATGTCACCAAACTTTTATTCATTTCCTTTTCTGAAAAGATCCCACAAACCATTTCACCTCCTTCCTCTTTTCCTTTCATGTCCATGCTCTTCCATTTTCAGCAAACTCCATCCTCTATCCCCTATCACCAAAGAAGATAGAATATTATGTTGACATGTCTCTTCTCAATACTCTTCGCACTTTCCTTCTTTTATCAGTGACTTTAACTTCCCTTTTTAATAATTTGGTTTGAACATGTAAATTATAAATCGATCATCATCGCAGCCCACCGTTGCCTTATCAGTCCCTTCTTCTTCTTCTTCTTCTTCTTCTTATAGATCCCAAACCTCGCTTTCCCTCCTCCATAAATGCTCATTTCCTGCAATTTCCTACAATTTACTTCATAAATTTTTGTGATAGTATGCGAGGTGGCTTCCTCAACCTTTTGCTTCTTTAGCACCGATTCAAGCCCAGTTTCGCTCGAGCCGGAGCCGGGGGTGGGGGTGGAGCCTTTCCTTGAAGGTTCGGGACTAGCATCCAAAGGCAGAGGCGGGAGCTGCTGGGCATCCATGACCGAAAACGAGAACCAAAGGGTAGGGAGGGGAAACAAACGAAATTGGGGATCTCGATTATGAAATCTTCCCATCACAAGCTTGGTGACATTCAATATTTTAGTTATCCATTTTGAAAGAAGAAACGAAAATAATTGCACTATTTATTGTTGATAAGAAATTTGGGTGTTATAAATTATGAATAGCAAAAAGAAGGTACTATAAATGTTAAATTGAAAATTTACATGATTGATTTAAGTAGAAAGACGGCAAAATATTATTTGGGACTATATAGTATTCTGAAATAAATTTATAGGTATGCTTGTAATTTTAATTATTCTTAATTATTTACTTAATTATAACTAATTAAAAATTATTAACAAGTGTGAACACATGCGCACAGCGTACGACCGTCGTACGCTAGCCTTTGCTATATATATTATGGCAAAGGCTAGCGTACGCCCGGACGTACGCTAGCCTATTGTACGCCCGTTGAATTTTGCTATTTAGACAATGAATTAACAGGAGTTTGGGCAATGATACTATACCCTAACCCCTAATGCATGAATCCCAATTCCCAATTCACTAACCTAAAGCTTAAGATTCATTTAATCTTGAAATGAAAATCAATGATTCTGATTCGTCGAAGTTATCAATGATACTATACTCTAACACCATGACTGATGTACATCAGGCTTATAGTATACAATAGGTGATCTAACCGTTAACAATTTGGGATTTTGGGTTTAGATTCAAAATTGAATGTTAATAGGTTAGGGTAATGGGTTGATTAGTTGTGATTATAGGTGTCAATCGGGCGGGTTCAGGTTGGGTTCAATCGGATTGCGGGTTAGTTGGGTTGCGGGTTCATCGGGTTGCGGGTTCGTCGGTTCGGGTTCAATCGGGTTCGGGTTTAATCGGGTTGCGGGTTAGTCAGGTTGCGGGTTGATCGGGTTCGGGTTCAATCGGGTTACGGGCAAATCGGGTTCGGGTTTATCGGGTTTTGGACTGGGCGGGTTGCGGGTGGATTGGGTTGCGGGTTGTTCGGGTCAACGCATCGAGTTACTTACTCGTTACCAACTTACACATTTTATTACACTAATTTAAAATATTCTTCACAGTTTTTAATCAATTTCTTTCTACCTTGTATATATACTTAATTAAGAAAAACTAGTCAAAATCACCACAATCGAAATTTGAAATCTCGCCTTCCCACCACAACTAAAATTGGGCCGCCCAAAATTTCATCATCACCCGCCCACTACTATTACACCAAAAACACAAAACCCTTCCCTGTGCTTGCAAAAAATTGGGCGCCCAAAATTTCATCACACCTGCCCAAAACCAAAATTTCATCACATCCGCCCAAAATTACTTCTTAGTTCTTACCCTGTCATCTTCTCCAATAATAAAGTTTATTATTATTGACAAAAGGTCTTAGTTATTATTTATTATAAATATTAGCATTGTGCTAATTTTATATTTACTTTTTTTGTAATTTGGTTAAAGAAATTCATGTCATAACTTTTGTAATTAAAAACCATAATTTTAAGTGAATTTCAGATTTTGAACTTTCTTAACTAAATGTGAATGATTTTACTTAGGTTGAGAATGAAAAATTTTATTTGAAAACAATATATTTATTTTAACCAATTTGTTTCTACCTCGTATATATATACTTAATTTTTTTGAAAAAAACGAGTCAAAATGTTAAATCAATTTGTATGACTTGCAAACTTGTTATGTAATTAATCGTAATTGGTAAAGTACACTAGCTATTAGTAATGGTGATATCAATATTTAAAACCAAAAGATACCATTAATTATTTATTTGATATTTTAGTATTATTTCAGTAGTGTAATTGGATTAAAGTATCTCATTTAGTATAACCATGCAAATGTGGTATTTGGCGTGTGGTATTAGGCAAAAGCAGAGTGATCAAATGAGTTATTTTGAAATAACTTATTGCCCAAATAACTTCAGTAAACTGTTGCCAAACGAGTTATTTGTAAAATTGTTCGAATTATCCTGAAAATTGAACCATTAAAGATTAACTATCAAATCTAGTAAAATTCTTGGGACTTCAATCATAACTTACTCAATAACATATATCCTATACACTTAGCCTTACCCTCAATCGACAATATTAAGTTAGTATATGTTTTTGATTGTATACCCTAAACCATCAATACATTATACACTAACCACATACCCTATACCCTAACCATATGTCCTTATGAGTTGTGATTTTGCTAGTATAGTTAATTTAAAACTAAAATTCATACTTTGATTTTCAAAACATAGATAAAAAGTGATATTTGCTAATTGCTATACCTTAACCATATATCTTATACTCTACATCATATACCTTGTACCCTAACCACGTACCACAAACATAAATTAAAAAGGGATCTCCTACCGTTAAAGACATCAAATGACTTCAAGTGAACATATGTTAATAAAAAACTTAGAACCGTCAAAACCATCAAATATCTTATACCCTAACCATATACTCCCTAAACCATCTGTACCTTATACCATTTACCCTAACCAATATATTTTATACCCTAAACAACGAACCGTCAAGATTACTTATCAAGTTTAGTATAATTGTTGTAACTAATGGTTAATTTATTTATTAGTCCATAAACAATTACACACACACATATATATATGGTTCAGGATAGCGTACAACTGGTGTACATTGTACGTCTGTGTTCACACTTATTAATTAATTACGATTAAATGATTATCAATAAAAATTATAATTACGACTACATTCATTAATTTATTATTTATACCATATAAGTCCCACAAAAGTTTTTTACTAATAAACGGAGCCAACCATCTCTCGTAGCATGATCGAACTATATATACACCAATAGGGGACAAATCATAGAAGGTTCAAATGGGCGCAGCATTTGTTTCCTCGTCATAACCACAAACCCAGTTTAACTAATTCCATGCCACTTGATCCATCATTCAATACTCAAAATAGACAAGTTCTTAAATTACGATTGCTTTCTCGATTCAATCGGGTCGCTTCCTCACCACCAATTCCACTCCTGTTAACCAAAAAGTCCCTAGTTTCGTCCTCATCAGTGGGTAGTTGAGTTTGATTACTGTTTTCCTATTACCGTATCTCACAGTTCCACAATCCAGATCGGATCCCATCGGCAGCCATCATCGATCAAGAAACCTTTGATTATCCCCATCAGAGACTCCTTGTAACAAAACAGTGATACTAAAATATCGCACCTATCCATAAACAACGTCTTTTCTGTACCCTATCCTCCAGTAAAAAGTAAAAACCGTGACTGTGACGATATGATTCTCATGCCGCAAGAACTAGTTATTGATGCTAAGAATCCGACAATGAGTGTGTCGATACCTAAAATTGTAAGGCTTATCTCCATATGGTTGCTGGCGGCTAATAAGGTGGATTCGGAAATTGCAGTAGGTTTGCTAGTTTTGATGAAATGGGTCTTCCTCCTTGTCTTTTGAAATGGATAAAAGGTCTCTGTCTCTGTATTGGAAAACAGAGCATATGTGGTATAGGCTACGATATATGAATTATGGAAAACAGAGCATATGTGGTATAGGCTACGATATATGAATTATGGATACACAAGAGATGCAAAGTTATGAAGGCTTGTCTCGTTTGCTGAAGGAGGCAGTTTGATTGCTTGGACAAAGATAATATAGACGCTGAGCTTGAACCATAGTTTGTGCTCTGTTCTTTTCCCCTTGGTTGTTTCTCTAAATTATAATTCCCACACTTTAACCCCAATGCGAAGACTGGGTATGATTAAACTCAAGAAAACAATTCCTAAAATAATTTAAAGCTTATCATATTCTAAATTCCTTGCCCATCTTCCTCGCATCAAGAGGTGCGCGTTCTGTTACATAGCTCATAACAAAATTTACTTTAGATAGAATCATAGAATTGATGCTTTGATTAGTTCCAAAAGGCAGGTTAGTCAGTTTTGGAATTCAGTTTCTGCTTTATCCTTATTCTTACACTACCAGATTATTATTTAAAAAGAAAGAGCTCATAGTTCTTTGATTATTTTGAACAAGAACGAAACAAAATCCCATCAATATGTAAAGGATATCAATTGGAGCTTCTATATCAATACAACGATTTGGATATTCAAAGTTATCATTTGGGGAAAGAAAGAGCTATAATTGATATAGTTTTTACTTGGACGATTGAGTTAAACATAACAAATGGCAACAAAAGTTGTGGGACTATAGCGTAAAGAGAAATAAATTAATGTAATTTTAACTATAAATTTTATTAATAATTAATAATTAATTAAGTGTGAACATAGGTGTATACCGTACGTTGGGTGTACGCTAGCCTTTGCCATATATATATATATATATATTAGTCTTCAAAGCATATAAGAATAAATTTAACTAATCATGTCCTCCATATAAAAATTAAAGATTCATATTTCAAAGGCTAAACTTTTGAAAAACAAAAAAGTTAAAAATACCAAATTTGTTTCATTCTTTCTTTTAACAAAAAAACAATAATAATAATAAAATTTCCATCCTTCTTTCTCTTTTCATAAATTAGAAACACTCAATTTCCCTCATCTTTCTCTTCCATAAATTTGAAAGAACCAAATTTCCCTCTTCCTTCATTTCACAAAAAGTTGAAAACTCAAAATTTCCCTCATTATTTCTCTTTCATAATCAAAAGAACCAAGCTTTCCCACTTCTTTCTATTCCCACAAATCAAGACCACCAAAATTTCCACTTGTTTCTTTTATAAAAAATTCAAATAACCAAATTTCTCTCTTCTTTCTCTTCCCAAAAAGTTGAATACACCAAAATTTTCCTCTTCTTTTAAAAACATCAAATTACAAAATACATTACTTTATTTTATTTATATTTAATTGATAATTTTATTGAATAGTTGAATTAACCAAAATTTTAATTTATATATTATATTAATATTGTCCATGATCTCAATTATTAATTCTTCATTATTAATATTGACATTATGTTGATTTTATATTTACTTTTTTAATTTTGTTAAAGAACTTAGTGTTCAAGTGACCTTCATGTTTCAATTTTTGTAATTTTATTAAAATACATAATATAAAGTGAGTTTCATATTTTTTTAAATTCCCTATACGAAATGAAAAATAATTTTACCTAAGTTTAGAATGAAAAACTTTATTTTGAAAAACTATGTATTGTATATTATAATAATTATTTAAGTGGACTAAGTGAGGTTCGGGTTGAGTCGGTCGGGTTACGGGTTAGTCGGGTTCGGGTCAATCGGGTTCGGGTTAATCGGGTTGCGGGTCAGTCGGGTTGCGGGTCAATCGGGTTCGGGTTAATCGGGTTGCGGGTCAGTCGGGTTGCGGGTTAGTCGGGTTGCGGGTCAATCAGGTTGCGGGTCGGGCGGATTACGGGTTGTTGAATTTTAGTCAATTCGGGTTGCGGTCGGGTTGCGGGTCGGGTTGATCGGGCGGGTTAATCGGGTCGGGCTATGTTTTGACACCTATAGTTGTGATACTGTGTTATATTCATTAATTTCACAAGTATCATCATAACACTTGGTGTAGAAAGTAGACCTATGAACTAGCTCTTTAATAAATTCCGTCCACGACTAAGTACGTTGCATAGCATAGTGAAAATATATATATTTTCCAAAAGAAATCTCGTTGAATGTAAAATGTGATAAAAGAAACAGAGTGAGCATACAATGCAAAGGATGTTATAAAAGTTAAGATAGATAAAAATGATAGTTTTAGATCAAATCTATATTTAGGTTGTCAACAATTTCTTTTAATAAAAAGAAGCTCTAACAATAGACTTCTGTTACACTATAATGAATCAGTCAAATACTTTCGATGGTTATCATAACAAAAAAGTAGGATAAAAGGTCATTATTGACTGCCAAAAAAGTGAGTATAAGTAGCATACACAACTCTTCATTACCAACACACAGTGAGTTCTCTCATAAAAGACTAAGGATATAGGAAAGTGAAATTGCAAAAGGAAAGAATTAGAGAAAGCATTTGATTGTCAATTATTTGTCATGGCTTTCAATCTTCAAATATTCGCTATTTGGGTTTTGATTGCTACTGTCATCGTGGCGACTGATCGTTGTAATGCTATTAGAGAAGTTCCAATTGAAAATTCAGCTGGTGTCGAAGTTCAATCCCTGAAGCAGTACGAGTTATGTTGTGAGAATGATCTGCCATGCTGCAAGTCGTCTTCGTTTTCGTATGAGAAGGTTCAAAATCCAAAATGGAAGTATGTGTTGTCAGCCTATATCGTACGAAAGCAACATGATGTTGCGGCTGCTACTGCACAACAAAATCCAACTGACGGGCCAGAATTGATTGATTAAATCAAGACCTTTTATGTAAGGGAAAAAAATAATCAGTGTCCATTATGGTAATAATAATATTTGATGCTTCTAGTCTAGTAGAATGCCAAGAATAGTTAGTACTATTTCAATGGGATGGATTTGAATCTTTTGTAATTTTCTACTTCTCTTTCTACATCGTCTACGTCTCTTAATTGGAGTCATACTTGTAGTACATGTTCTATTTATGTGTAAGCGGCAAAATTCATTTTCATTCTATTGATAGAAATAAGAAGAAAAAAACATATTTAGTTCTTTACACATACGATTTCTCTATTTATAGTTTGCTACGAATAAAGAAAGGGCAAGAAAGCTAAACAATTATTATAACTTATACCTAAACTATTACACCACATACTTATAGTCCTTCAACTACTAACATGCCAAGAAGAATGATTAATTAAAAGCTACTTACCAACCATGTTTACTACACGTATATGTACTCATACATAGTTTATCCGTTTAAAATTTCCGTATCCGTATTATTGTCAAGTCGTTTCATTTTTAAACGTGTACACAACAACACCTTGGCTATAGCATCCATTGTATGGATCTTTGAAGAAACATGAAGCACTTTGGTAACACTTGCAAGTATCTGATCATGAGCGGTACAAAAATCTATCTTGTATGTTTAGTGCACTTATCAGTGATACCTATCCTTCTTGCAAGCTAATAACATGCAAGTATGACTAAATATAACGCAAAGACCCGAGGAAGTCTCGAAATGCATGGAAAAATGGATGGACGATGAACTGAAAAGGTCTAATGAAATGATAAAGCCAATTACATTTTGAAATGTGCTCTACGACGAGAATATTTTGGAAAGGTAGCCATGTGAAAAACCACAAAAGAAATTTAGGGTATGTTATAGGTAGCATATGAAGGTACGCCTAAGTTTGAAGAATCTAGAGTTCATATGCTCATTAGAGAATTTGAGTTATTTATCGTGCGTGAAAATGAGATCATTGTGAAGATGCATGAAGCTCTTATAGACATTGTTAATGGTCTTATGAATTTGGGCAAATCATATTGTAAATCAGACTTAGTAAATCTGTAACACATTAGGCAAATTCCACATTGACAAAGCACGGCAGAGATCCATGGTTAATAAGTAAGAAATCGACCATAACTGACAAGACACATTTTGGGGTGAAATGGAGGAGTTCTTGTGAGAACTCCAAAGTTAAACGTGCTGAGTGTGAAGTACAACAAGGATTGACGACCTTATGGGAAGTCACCTTGAATTGCACCCCAAGTCGAAAACCCTGAGGGTCGAGGCCCAAACCGGACAATATCTTCATCGGGAAAACATCTACTAGGTTTATTGACAAAGCACGAAAAAGATCCATGGTTCATAAGTAAGAAACCGACCTTATATGACAAGACGCATTTTGGGGTGAAATTGAGGAGTTCTTGTGAGAACTTCGAAGTTAAACATGCTTAGTGTGGAGTTCAACAAGTATGGGTGACCTTATGAGAAATCAACCTTGAATTGCACTCCAAGTCAAAAATTGTGATGGTCGAGACCCAAAGCGAACAATATCTTCGTCGTGAAAAGGTTCGGGATGCTACAAAAACACATCCTGAATACTTTGCAAATAAATTGGCCTCATTAGGTAATAACTATGGATGATTCTAAAGATTTGTCCAAAGTAGAGCTTAGCGAATTAATTGGACCATTACATACCATTTGGTATAAATGAATTCCATAAGTTTTGAGGAATTCATTTTGAAATGAAATCTTTTTGTGTTTGGTATTTAAAAGAATTCATTTTCAATTCTAAATTTTGAATTCTATGGAATTGGAGCTAGTTTTAGCAATTCCACGGAATTGAGATGAAATTTCCAAATGAATTCCACAAGTATTTCACTGATTATAATAGAATTACATAGTTATCCTTATTTATTAACTAAATTACTTCTACATGCGGCAATACATAGACTATGCATGTCTAACCCTACTCTTTTCGCCAATATGTTATCTTTATATATATATATATATGTGGTGGCTACTTCGGTGCACTCACTTTTTTGGGTGCATTCAGTGCACCCACCTTTAAAAGTGGTCATAATACATCAAATTTTGAAATTTAATGGGTAGCATTAGTCTCATATGATGATATAACACAGAATCACTACTAATCAACCCACTACCCTAACCTATTAACATTCAATTTTGAATCTAAACCCAAAATCCCAAATTGTAAACCCTAACCCTAACCCTAAATTCCTAAACCCTGAATCATTCAAATTAAAGTGAATCTTAAATGATTTTTGTACAAATTCATGTGGTTCTTGTTCATCATACTACAAGGGATGATTGACATCGTTTTCACATGAATCGTCTGCTCAGAATGACGAGTATGAGGCGGGTGCATTGAATGCACCCAAAAAAGTGAGTGCACCGAAGACATAACCATATATATATATATATATAAAATTTATCCTAAACTCTGCATTCTGCGCAACTCCAAATTCCATTATGAGGGCTAAGAAACAACCTGTTATTTTGCAATGAAACCAACTCTCTACTATTTCCAAATATTTGAATAATAATTTTTTTACTAGCGTGATTTAGAAGATGGGTTTTCAATGAATATTATTTCTGCGCAAAATTAATGAGGGTATAGTCTGAAACTTGTAATTTGATTACATTATGAATGTATGTCAAACATGATTTGAGAATTCAATTCATTTTATTGATAAAGAATCGAATAAGACATGCTAAACACAAGAATTCATTTGACAATGAATTCTACAAAGTAATTCATTTTAAAATGAAATGAATTCTTGATTCATTTGGTACCAAACGGTTCATTAATGACTCATAAAGACATACTTAGAAGTTAGGATAATGAACAACCTTACTAACAAAGGAGGACATGATGAAGATCGGATGTCGCGTAATAGCTTCCCTGGACTCAGACAGGAGGACATGATGAAGCTGCTCTGACCTTTTGACATTTCGGACTATCATAAGGCTATCTTTGAGATGAAGCCTCTATCTGCGCCGGGACCAGATGACTACCAAGCCATTTTCTATCAGAAATTTTGGTCTCATGTAGGGAAGAACCTTGCGGCAATGGCAACCCATTTCTTTAAAACAAGACACTTACCGGAGGAAACCTTCGAGTCGACGGTTGTTCTTATCCCGAAAACAGATCACCCTGAGTCACCAGTACAATTTCGGCCAATCAGTCTCACCAATGTTGCTCTCATGCCCTTGCTTGTTTCTCCGACCTAGAGTTGCTTCATCAAGAGTAGAAAAACGAACGACAATATCATTATTCTCCAATAAATGCTTCATTCGCTAAGAAACAAGAAGGGAAAGAAGGGTCACCTGATTATCAAAATAGTTTTGGAGAAAGCCTGTGATAGGCTTAGCTGGAATTTTCTGAGGGGAACTTTGGGGGAAGTGGGTCTCCCAAGCACGTGGACTAGTAGGATTATGACATGTGTGGAGAAGAACCAGATGAGGATCAATTGGAATGGGGAATTGGCGTCAGGGAGATTATTTATCTCCCTTTCTAATATTTTTTTTTTGTGTATGGAAAGACATTCTCATCGTATTGAGTCAGATGCGGATGATAAGAAATGGAAACCATTTCCTCTGGCAAAGGATGGACCCATGCTCTCTCGTTTTTTTATACTGATGAACTAATTTAATTTGCAGAGGCTGAGAGGAGCCAGATATAAGTCATTCGCGCTTGTCTAGAGGATTTTCCTCGAGCTCGGGGCAAAGGGTAAAATCAATAAATCTGCAATGTATGTTTCCCCTAATATACAATGAGATAAAGCTCAACAGCTCAGCTCAAGAGCGGGGATCAAGCTAGCGATGGACTTGGGACGCTACCTAGGACTCAATGTAATTAATGGCAGAGTCTCAAAGGAGAGGTAACAAGAGCTTACATTGAGAATACAACAGAGACTAGCGAGGTGGAAGGTCGATCTCCTATCGGTGCCTGCGCGAGTTACCTTGGTATAGTCGATTTCATCATCAATGGCTATTTACCCTATGTTTACCGACAAGATACCTGCTTCTGTGTGCAATTTGCTTGACAGGATCAATCGACAATTTGTATGGGGAGAAGAGGATGGACAATCCAAATTTCATCCTATAGCGTGGGATCAACTTACTCTTTCCCAGAACCAAGGAGGAGGAGGAATCAGGTTAGCCAATCAAGACATGCTAGCCAAAGTGGCGTGGAAGTTAGCCATGGGAGACCAAGTGTTGTGGGGGAGGGCCATGAGGAGCAAATACGGTAGGAATAGACAAGGAATCGATGTGCTGAGAAATATAAAGGGAAGCTCCTTTACCTGGAAAGCTTTGCGCAAACTGCAAATATATTGCACAAAGGTGCAGCTATCAATGTTAAGAATGGTTACAATACTAAATTTTGGATGGATATATGGATTTTGTAGGAACCATTGGTGGACATAGCTACTATGGAAATCCCTCTTGACATCAGACATAAGACATTGGTCGACTATTGGCACAGTGAGACCGGATGGAAAATCCAGGAGTTCAACTAGTACTTGCCAGCAGACATTGTCAACAAGATTCGAGCGGTGCTCCTAGATCCTCTCTCGACTGTTGAAGATAGCTTATTCTGGAGGTTGATAGAAAACGCATAGTTCAGTCCAAGCTCTGCCTTCAAAACAATCTCACCCGAGCCGACAAACCAGAATTCCACTCTTTGGCGAAGGATATGGAAACTCCACTGCCGGGAGAGAGTTTGTTTCTTTATTTAGCTAGCGGTTAAAGGGAAGTTGTCGACGAACCGTGTGTGCACGTACAAGCATTTGAATCATGATGATAAATTCCCCGTCTGCAAGGAAGTGATTGAGACAAACATTAATTGTCTAAGGGACTGCCCAACTATTAAAAAAAATCTGAGAAAAAAAACGCTATTAGGACAGGATCAACCGGCCGTCTTTGCTCCAGATAAGGATACTTGGTTTCGCTTGAACGTGCAAGATAGAGACGAGGATGAAGAGTGGCCGACTCGCTTCTCCCTCATGATCTAGTACAATTGGAAACACGTAAACGAACTCACTTTTCAAGGTAAGAAGATAGCAGACTCCTCACTTGTCAATTATGTGACATCCAAGGCTACAGAGTGGGTGCGGACGTGGGAAAGGGCGAGTTTGAACTTGAATTCGTTAGTGAAATAGCAAAGAGAAGATCGATTGATAGGATGGAGCCCCCGCCGAGAGGATGGAGAAATATGAATATAGATGAGGAGGCGCAAAGTGATTCTGGGATGGCCACTGCAGGTGGTCTATTACGTGACATTGAGGGGGATTGGCTA